AACGCATGTTAGATTGAGCAGAGGACTTGTCTGGTTCTCATGGTCTTGTGCCGATGGCCGACGAGGTCTTCACAGGGGATCTGTCTCTGGTTCATCTAGTTGACATGGTCTCTGCTGACATTCAGGGCTGTAGAGGTGGCCTCTAGGTGCTGATCCACTATCTGGACTGGATACGGAGGGCCTTGTGCCTACGGCCGTATCACAGCCGTGCTGATATACAGCCATATCGCACTGCTACTCATATGATATTGCTCATACTGAGCGCACACACACACAGACGCATGTGCAGAAAGATGGCTCTTTCATGTCAACTGTCTAATACACACAAGGTTATGTCAAAAACACAAAGTTCACAAAAACACGGTTATGTTTGTAAACGTAAACAACTGCATGTGTATAAATCTGTGAAACGATGTCTCTTGGACATGGCGACTATACACTACTAACACAACTCAATCAGGCCTCACCCCCTTTTATTTATTTGCTTATGCCTTGGGTGGTAATTATTTAAATTAGGGATACTGTGACATATGTTCCCAGAAACTATAATTGAGGCCTTTGAGGGGGAGTTCAGAAACAGTGCTTACTGATTAAGAAACAACTCTCTTTGGAGTGGACTTTCTAATTTTGCAGGTCTTTTTCATGCACAAACAGCAACACTACACACTAAAAGAATGTAAAAAAAAAACAAAAAAAAAAACAATGGAACCTTTTTAATGTTCAGTGGATATGCTGAATAAAGTGTTTATATGGCCCAAAATTCAGATTAAAACAGGTATATTCCAGCTGTTTTAATAAAGTTTTTTTTATTATTATAAAAAAAAAAAAACCCAACCAACCCAAAACATTTGAATGCTGTTATATATACTGTATATGTAATCAGAATACGACCAAATTCTGATTTATATCATCATCCACAGCTGAGATATTGTGATGGGCTTAAGTGAATTTGTGCTGAATCATTTCTAGGTTTGTCTGAGAAAAAAAAAACTGTTGCAACCTGTGGAAGGACACATCAACACCAGGAAATAAAGAGAAGCCAACACATACTGGAATCTGTTGATCAAGCTTAATTAACCGTCACTGGTTGCACAGACACTCTCAGGTTCTCTGAATCAGTTCTCAGTCATTTCCAGTTCCAGTAACTGCTGCAGTCACATCAGTCACACTACACTGCCCTATGACTACCCGTCCTGCTGCTATTTTACTGCTGTTGTGCCGTGGAGAACAAATTCACCATTTTCCTGTTTGAAGGGACATATTACAGATATTGCAGTCATAAAATTTGGATCCTCTTGCTGCTTATTATTTTAGTTTGAGGCTAGGTCAGTGATTGATTTCTGCAGGTTATACAGTAAAGAAGCTCTCAGCTGCTGTTTTGTATCAATGAGACTGTATGTCATCACAGCCACCGTTACGGCCCATATAGTGACAGCCATCAGATTAGCCAGTCACAGCAAGATCTGACCGGCACTTTACGTCATCCTGCAGTGAAAATGCAGTGGAAATCTCTTCTGAATTCATCAGTAAAGACCAATAGGTAAAAAATAACAGAATACAAATGGAAAACGTGGATTTTGAAATGAGCTGTTCAGCTATAATACTCGAAACTTAACTGTAAAAAGACGTCTAAGTGAATAATAAAATAATTACAGGTGTACAAACCATATCACAGTGCAGCAAAGGTGTTCATCAGCCAAATGTCTGGAAGAGGGCATTCCATTTGTGCAGATGATCATGTAAGTGTATTTTTTGTTCCCATTATGATTTGTGGGGTGGACCAAGTGTGACCAAGAGCAACACCACAGTGGAATCTGCTTCTATTGACATGTAGGCAAGCCTCAGGCCTATTTTTAAACATGTTTTCAAAGCACAAGCTCTCAGGTTGCTTTTCCTTAGCCTGGTCAGTCAACCCTGAAAACCGCTGGGTTTGTTTCAAGACACATTAACACCAGGAAATAAAGAGAAGCCAACACATACTGGAATCTGTTGATCAAGCTTGATTAACCGTCACTGGTTGAAGCTTAAATTTATGGGCCCCATAAATCCAGCTCTGTCAGATGGACTTCAAGGTCATCCTGATTTTTACTTTCATTCTTTGCCACTCACAAACACACACATACAGCTCCCTTGGTACTCATTTTTAGTTAATCATTCAGGTACAACAAGACAAGGCCAATGACATAGATTTCTTATATCAGAGACAGCAAGCAAGATGTTCTTACCTCAGACCTGCTCTTCAGACTGCTCCTCTTTGGTCTGAAAAGGACATCTTTGAAGTCCAGTTTGAGGTCAGCATCCACCCGGGGCATAGTGACAGGCCTGAGAGCGGATGAGAATCTCCTGAGCCGGGCTGGTCCAGAGCTCCAGGCACCAAACCCGAACCGGCAGAAAAACAACATATTTATAATGTAGAAAGGGCTGTCACTGCCCAGGCCCCCATGGCTTTATTTGGCAAGGCCTGTACACTCTCTCCTTTCCTCTCTCTCTACTCCCCCCTCCGCTTGCATTCAGTCTGGAGTGGCAACAGCAGCAGTAGCAGTGATAAAAAGCTGTCTGACACATAAACACACACACACAAGCGCAGTGACTGCAGCTTAGCACTGCAGTATGTGCACAGAGCTCCTGCTGTCCAGCTGGGTATTGCTTCTCCGAATCAATGAGTGACCTCATGGGAAATGAGAGGGAGGGACACAGGAGAGGAAGGACATGAAGATAATGTGTGAATATAATGTTGTCTAATACAGAAATAAAAAAGCGAAAAACTTTGAGTAAGTATAAAGATTGCTGATATAATCCACAAGGGACACTTAAATATAATCATATATAATGAATTCAATGGCAAATCCCTGTATGGAGATGTATAAATACAACAATTTTCCCTAAATATGTTTTCATGTCATAATTTTCTTACGAAGCACCATCTACAGCTTTATTATGCACAATGTCACATGCACATTGAATGTTCACAATGCATATCACTGAAATGTTTTTTTTTGTATTTATTTATAGTATAAATATTTAATGTAATTACTCAGTGCCTATTGTTTATATTCATTAATTTGTAAGTTTCACTGTCAACCATGTGAATTGACATTTTATTCCACTGTACTGTATATGTGAATATGTCTTTCAAAAATATGTATTTATGAATATATAAATATAGTAATTAAAAATTATATATGACTACGTTTTTACAATTTGGCAGTCTTACAAGTTTGCTTTAGACAAATAGTAAAATGATACTAACATTACATTAAAATTACATTTCAATTTAATCCAAGATTGTTCCAAGGTATCAAACATGCAATGCTATCTCATGTAATGAAAAGCCCCAAATTAAAAATCTGAAATTGACATTTGCTTCTGATGTGCCATTCAATTGGTCATTTTTATTCAGCAATCAAATTCTATACAATAAAAACTTTATGCAAAACCTTTTTAAAACAAATGCATTATAAAATTCAGGCATGTCATCAGCGAAGGACACAAATCAAGGAAACATAAATGTAAAAATATATTACTATTGCAATAATAACATTGAACTGCAACATTTAAAAACCTGAGTATTTAATAATAATGATAACAATTTTACAAAACAACATTAAAATTATAATGCTAATATATATGGCTGTTTTGATTGCAATTCTCATAAAAAATTTGGGAAGATGGTTGTGTTGTGTCTTCAAATGCACAGCACTTACAGACATGGAGTTTAAGTGGAGCAGTATTTACTCTGAAATGAGACACTTCACTCTAAAACACAGTGCATCAGAGTATATATAATTAAATAAAAGAGACACACCAACAGTTTCATATACTCTCCATCACTGATTGTTACTCTCATTTGGTGATTGACTGAGATGCTAAGGGCTTTCCGCACACAACTGCTAGGTTGGGAGTAATCCATGCATACAGATGCATGAATGCATTTGTAAAAACACAGCATTTCAGTTTGTTTAGTAACTGTTTAAGGCCATTCACACAGGTCATACTTTTCAAGTAGGAAAATACAGGGGGGAAATCACATCCCTGAGAATCTCTTTAAAATCTACAAAATGGTTTTAAAGGCTTTAGGCCACCTCATCCAGCTTAAGGGTCCAGGCTTCAGCAGGTGAGAAAGGCAGATCAGGCAGCAGAACAATCAGTCCTGATGTCTGCAGAGGAGCCCATTTCAGAGGCTCAGGGTTCCCCAACAAAGTCACCTGAACAGAAATGCAAAATATTTACAGATATTTCATTGATATCTTACCAAAAAAAAAAACACCCATTTTATTTCTAAATTTTGATGAATTGATAAATATTTACCACTGTGTTGTGAGAGGTTTTAGGCGTTAAAAGCTTAAAGGAGTTCTGCATGGGATTGGAGGTCAAGATCGCATATACAGTGCTGCTTTTTGACGTATACCTGAAAATTAAGGAACATTTTAAATACTCAAATTAATGAAGCATTCACAGCTTTAATATAACTACACCACATGCTAACTAGGACTAAACTAAGGCTGCAGAAACAGAGAAGGAACCAAAACTACTGCTGACTCAGCTCACAAGAACCCAAGCTGCTTATAAACAGATCGAGAAGTATTCAAATCATTAATGACAATCAAACGATCATATGATGGATTTATTAACATGTCACAATTTCAGGGTAAAAGTTTGCGTTCAGTCTAGATTAAGTGAGAATAAGTACCCAGAAGTCTCAGCAGAGTTTTTGGAAAGGCCGGTACAGTGAATGGACTCTTATGATTGGCCTTAAATCCTCATTTTAAACAGTGGTCTGTGAATCCTAAACTATAATTTTCTCACATGGCTCCTGTTATACTCTTCATTGACTCTAGGTGACACTATTTCACTGCAACCACAACATGAGTATCTGAAAGTTTTTCAAAGGAACTGTAAGGCACAGACAGATAAGAGGAAGTTTAAAAACTTCAACACACCAGACAGGAACGGTAGCATTCTCAGCCTGGACTCTCCAAGGCTTAGTTGAATAGATGGCTTCACCATTGACCTTCAGCCAGGCTCCAATGCCTCGGAGACGTTCCTCAAAGACAGGTGCAATCATGCCATCTGCTGTAGGCCCTACATTCAACAGGTAATTACCCCCTAATGCCACGACATAGACCATGTCCTGTGGTCACAATATATGAGAGTCATTAGGCACCATATGAACTTGCATAAGGTTTTGTGTCCATATGTTTTATTCATATAAATATATAATACATTTACAACACAAGAATCTAGTAATATAATCTAAGGCAAGATCTTCTGTCTATTAGGAACACATCACACCTTTAGAATGGATGGTAGATCCATCAGTTCGCTTAGCTTCATATTTCGGCGATACCCCCATGATATCTTGTCCACTGACTGGCATTTCTCCCACTTGTGGTTGGGCAGCTGTCCAGGAGTGAACTTGTCAGCACAGTTATAATAACCTCCATGTTTACAATAACATCCTAACCCCCATCTGTCATTAGTCACCACTACATCCTGTAAGGAGTGAAATAATGCAGTCATTATGATCTGAATTACAACTTGAGACACAGTCTCAATTTAAAATAAGAACAACATTATGCATGATCTCACTTTGACCGGACTGTCATTGTAGAGCCAGGCTAGGAATCCTGTAGAGTTCCAATAAGTGTCAGGTGCTTCCCAGTCCCCATCTGACCAAATCAAGTCAGGCTTGTACCTGAATCATCAAAAACATTACCAGTTAACTTTCATAAATGTCACACTATATATGTAGACTGTAAAGGTTGATCTTTACACAGTCACGGACAAATAAAACACGCAGTCAAGCTTACGTCATAAACAACTGCACTTCATTCTCCAGCCTGTATCATCACATGACTGATGCAAATGTACCTGTTGACCAGATCGTAGAGCTCTGGCATGGCTTTTTTTTCAACAAACTCCTGGGTCTTGAAACCAGATTGCTTGTCACTCAGGTAGATGGGATTGAACCATTCATACAGAGAGTGGTAGAGTCCATAATGCAGAGACCTAATAAAAGAAATTCAAAATTGTTGCATAAAATTCAGGAAATAAATTTAGCAAAGCCTTACTGAGATATCCACCTTATTTAAATGTAAGCGCAGGCATGGCCGTTTTTTTTTTTTTTAACTTGAATGACTTTCTGTGTCATCTGCTTCCACTTATTTTAGCTGTACAAAAACTGTTACACTGCTTGATGTTGCAAATTGGTATTTGTTATCATATTATTTTATTTTAGTATTGTAAAAAAAAATTGCCATTTTTACTGCACTTTGTTATTCTAGTTATTTACCTATACACTGCAACAAAAAACCCTTTTAAAGAAAGACCTACTGTGAGCGACGAGGTTGTCAATCAATGGTATATGCTTTTGCTAAAGCCATCAGCCCACATAATTTCAACAAATTTTGAAAAATATTATGTTTAACGACAGACTTATCTGTGAAAAAAAAATACATTACCCATATTATTGAATTTAACTCAATTATGTCATTTTCTCTCATTAAAGCCGTTAAGTACAAGTCTTGTACCTTTGTCTTTTTGTCTGATATTCAAAGACATTTTTGCTTCAAATCAAAGTTTGTACCGTTGTGCTTTATTTTGTAGCTGGCTATTTTTAGATAAACTGGTTTAACAAAGGTTTACTTTTTATTACAGACGCATTACATTATTCTGGTGATCCAAATGGTTGCAGAATTTGTTATTCTTTTTTAAATACGTTTATCCCTAAAATATTATTAAAAATTTGTTTATCGTATTTTCCTGACACTACTATGTAATTCTAAACAAAGTCAAAGAAAATAATAAATCAGTATTACCCCTGCAGTTATTTTATTAGTAAGCTCAAGGAAGGGTTTTCTCTGTTATGCTGTTTCTGTAAAGAGGAGTCAAAAACAATTATACTTATTTTTCAGTTGTATTCAAATTTTGTTAACTGTTTTTGAGGATTGTCACAAAACTATACAAATACCTGATTTTATGGATATAGATATTTGTTTAAAAATGTGCTCTATTTAGAAAAATATCACATACATAAAGTAAAATATGTCTGTTGTACCAAATATTAGATTGTTTTCCACAGTTTTTATGATTCTCTAATTTCTATAAAGAACAACAGTAAAGCTAAGAAGAAATCTCTGTTTTTGAATAAGACAACTGATGTTATAGTTATATGGTTGAATTTTGTTGCATGATGTATGAGGTAGCCTTATAGTGATGTGTATAACTTCTCCTCAGTGGAACAAAGCAAGCTCGTTTCCGCGTTGAAAAGACAATGCAGCCTTCGCTATTAGCATCAGTATGCCCTAGAAGCACAATACCTCTTTCTTATCGCAGCGCCCAAATCTCCAACAAGATCCCTGTGAGGTCCATTATCAACAGAATTCCAATTCCAAGAGGTCTGGGAACCCCAGTTTGTGAAGCCTTCGTGGTGTTTTGATGTGAGGACCACATACCTGTGC